TAAGAATGCTCATCTTTATTAGCGAAAAATTTAAAACTTCAAAATACGTTCAAACATTAGAAAACACTACCGGACTTACGTGTTTCAAACATCATGCTAGAGTTCAAAATAAGATAAAAACAATTATAAATTAAATAATTTAAATGAATGAAATGCAAACGTCCTATCCTAACCAAGACTAGGAATTTTAAATATGCAACTATCCTATGCACGCGCCATAGTCTCTGATCACGATGCCGACGTCAACCGTACATGGGCGCCTTGTCTTTACTTGAAAAAAACAATATGGGTCATGCTAATGCAAACACATGCAATCATTCATTAGGGACCTATCTCTAATAATCTTAAGGGTGACCTCCAGTATCGGACAAATTGGATGTGTAGTACTTACCTACACACGACTCACACGTGCGAGTGTGAATCCCCAGGGCGCTCGCACACCCCCTGGACCCTCTGGTCAAACTAATCTGTAATGACGTCCGGAGGTCAGCGGAACCCCATAGTGTCATGCACCTCATGAACACCCTCATATGTGTGCATTCGCACCTGTGCGCATTCACGCTCATCATATGGTGTGCGCCCTCACTCATCATCTCTAGGGGAAGTAGCCCTATGCTTATGAACATACAATATGCATGAGGTCCCTCTAAGTCCAATTATACATCTCGTCTAACACAACCCTCTAGTCTCATCTCTTGGTTACACTATGTAACACGTGCTTGCAGATATTTACATTAATATCATTTTTATACTCTCAGGGTTGTGTCCTATGTCGATCTAACGACATGATGCAATATGAAAAATAACATCATAAGGCATGTTGAACATGGAAAACATCATCATGTTAATACTATCAACATGCATACATCATACTCATCATAGAAGCCATTAAGTGCATCAAATATAACATGTATGTCATGCAGCGAAACATAAATAGCGTACATTTAACAAACATCACAACACAACATCATACACACGCATCATCATAATTCAAACAATCTTTAGCCTATCCTATAGTAAGGTCACTTACTTGGTTAGCCTTGGCCGAAGTACTCCCTAAATAGCTAAACATAAGCTCCCGTTCTGTGAGAGCTGCTTCCTACGTTGCTGGGGTTTGATTCATATCACACTGTTCACCACTTTCCATTAGTATTTCACAATTAATTTACCTATAATTAAATGAATGTGAAATACAGCTCTAAAATGGCCTCGGATACCTTAATTAGGGCCGAAAACAGAACCGGGAGGGTCGAAACAGTGGAAACCGGGCTAAAAACAGGTGAGCGGATCCGAACAGCCGCTGGGAGACGCCGGAGCGTCACCGGAGGGAGCCCGAGCCGAGCCGAGGGACCGCCTGTGCCGCTGTGTGACACGTGGCAAAAATAGAGAGAGCCACGTCGTGCGGTAGCGTCGGGTCGAATCGCGGGTCACAATCCGGTTCGGGTCATGGTCTGGGTCACGGGCTGCGGAAGGATACTGGGCCAAGACTAATTGTTGGGCCTCTGCTTACTGGGTTGGGCCTCAAGTGTTTGGGTTGCAGGCCGCCTCGATTGGACCGTGGGTCTGGTCTCGGGTTGGTTCAACTAAATCGTAGATTTTGGGCTGGTTTGAGGTTTGGGCTGCTGTAGTTGGGCTGGACCGAAGGCAGAGGCCGAGGGAAAGAATGGGCTAGCTCTCTCGGGTTTTGGGTTCGGGTTGACCCAGATCCGTGGATCTCGTCTTCCTTACCCGACTTCGGCCTATTTCCGGTGAGTTTTCTCTCTCCTTCCCGCAGCGTTTCCGTTGCCGATTTCGATCTCTTTCTTTCTTTTCCTCTTTATTTGTCGTCCTTCTTTCTTTTCTGGGAGTTTTTCGGCCTAAAAGTTCCTATGCATGAGTGGAGCGAAACTAGAAGAAACTCTAGTGGAGGCCTGCAGCGATACTGGCGTGCAAATTGTTCGTTTGACTTGGGTATAAGGATGAAAGACTAATCGAACCATCTAGTTTCCTCCGAAGTTTCCCTCAGGAGAGATGAAGTCCACGAGCGAGTTTTATCAGGTAAATCCAATGATTAGAAGCATTTGGGGCATAATATCCTCAACCAATTCTCAAACTTTAAACACCCAAGGGAAAACAACATAATTGGTGGTGGAAATCGAATGGTGCCAACAACTGTGAATGTTTGATTAATTCACCACACCTAAATGGTGTGAAAGTTATCTTATTTATAATCAAATAAATTCCAAGGATATGGAAATAGTAATAAATGGAAATAACAATAAATGTAAAGATACCTATGATAATAAAGCAAATATTAGATATTTGCCTTATAATAAAATATCAAATATAATATATATGGTAAACTATAATTTATTACTAAATATTCTTAACACCCCACCGCAAGCTAAGCGTCGGATTTAAACGAACATGAAGCTTGAATCTGAAAAATTCAAAGAGGTTGAGAAACACTTTTCATGAAGATGCTAACAATCCGGTTCTTGGCCATAAAAAATTGCAGAGGGATCGCCGCTCAGCGGCGATGCTGCCTTGTCTTCGGCGAGAATATGTCTAACCCATGAAGAGGGATTGTCGCTTAGCGACGATGCTGCCTTGGCTCTGGTGAGAATATTTCTAACCCCAAGAAGTAGAAGGGGAAACCTAGAGCAAGGGACAAAGACAATGTTGAAGCCGGAAGATTCGCCACATTGGGCGAAGGAGCCAATTTTGGCGAGAAGGGCAGTTTGAAGAGTCGCCTCATCGGGCGAAGAAGCCAATTTTGGCAGGAAGGGCGGCGGCAACTTGGTTGGCGAATAGGCCAGTGCGGCACCCAGATTCCGAAGGTAAATCTCTGCAAAAGGTTGATAGGTTTAGGTTAGGGTTTATGTGAAGGATGAAGGTTGATTGGGAAGAAAATGAGAGAGACTATATTGGCCAAGGAGAAAACCGATTGGGTTGGAAAAGGTGAGGTTGTATGTACAGAGTATGACGAAAGGTGATTTGGAGGTCAATAGGGTGGAGCCGAAGAGCAATCAATCGGCTCCAACTATGGCAGCCATGAAGACTGCACCTGCGGCGTCAAAACCAGCAGGGGTGGTGGAGAAGAAGATTAGAGGATTCAAAAGCCATTGAAAAGAAAGGATCGGGGTTGTTAAACCGAGAGGGCTCTGATACCATGTGAATGTTTGATTAATCCACCACACCTAAATGGTGTGAAAGTTATCTTATTTATAATCAAATAAATTACAAGGATATGGAAATAGTAATAAATGGAAATAACAATAAATGGAAAGATACCTATGATAATAAAGCAAATATTAGATATTTGCCTTATAATAAAATATCAAATATAATATATATGGTAAACTATAATTTATTACTAAATATTCTTTCTTTCTTTTCCTCTTTATTTGTCGTCCTTCTTTCTTTTCTGGGAGTTTTTCGGCCTAAAAGTTCCTATGCATGAGTGGAGCGAAACTAGAAGAAACTCTAGTGGAGGCCTGCAGCGATACTGGCGTGCAAATTGTTCGTTTGACTTGGGTATAAGGATGAAAGACTAATCGAACCATCTAGTTCCCTCCGAAGTTTCCCTCAGGAGAGATGAAGTCCACGAGCGAGTTTTATGAGGTAAATCCAATAATTAGAAGCATTTGGGGCATAATATCCTCAACCAATTCTCAAACTTTAAACACCCAAGGGAAAACAACATAATTGGTGGTGGAAATCGAATGGTGCCAACAACAATCCATCATGAGAAGAGACCAGCCAAGACGATGAAGTGATAGTGTGTTGGATTCATTTCTCTAAATCAGATGCGTGCACTTCAGCCAAAATGCCATCAGGCATCAATAAAAAAATGTGAGACAGAGACGTTGACATAGACGATCGCACAATTCAACTATATTCATCGGGTTGTATGCACTTGTAATTTTTGTGACATTTTCTTAAAAAACTATAAACAACCACCAATAATATTACGATTGATGATAAGGGTGTACATGGGCCAAGTTGGGTTGGGTTGGTTTAGGGGATTTTTTTGACAACCTAACCCAAAAATTTTCACAATCGAACCGAACACTCTGTTTTTGGGTTGAGTTGTTGGTTGTCAATTTTTATTTTAAAGTGTTATTTATTCACAATTTATAATTATTCGAATACAATCATATATAAGATTTAACAAATACAAAAAAAAAAAACAACACGAGAAAATTGTAACATAGTTCAACATTATCATAAAAGTTCAAAACCGACATTTCTTGAAAATTGGTTAAATAAGAAAAATAGAATGATAATAAATGATTAATTTAAAAATATTGTATATACCAAGAATAAAAATTCCAAAAAATATTTTAATTGATATATGCATAAAAATAGAAAGCCCTCCACTAATAAAAAAAATAAAAATAATAGATAATAAATATATTAGAATTTAAAATTACTTGTCTTAGTTTAATAATAAAATCTTTAAATATATGTGAACAAATTTAATTTTGGTGTTAAAAGAATTCCTAAAATAATCTAGAACTTAAATAACTCTTAAAATAATCCAAAATTATCTAATAAGTGCTATGCTATGTGTTGAACCAAAACATTTGAATTTTTAGAATCCGTAAAATAAAAACCTAGATAATTAATAGTTATATGTTAAAAAGTTAAATAAAAATAAGAAATTAAAAATAATAAAATAATATAAAAAAAATTAAACAAAATAATAAAAAGAAATATGTATTTTGTGTGACAATACCATCCTAACAAACCCATTAATACAAATGAATTATTAATATATTTTATATAGTTTTATTTTCCACGAACTCAATTTAGGTTCAGAAAAAATGAACTCAACCCTATCGGAAATGCTAATCCAACCCAACCCAACTCTTATAGTTCGGGTTGAGTTGGTCCTGGTTGTTGGGTTGAACTTACCCCTAACCCCTAAATGGGTGAAGTCAATTGGATCCGAATTTTTCCGACCCGTATGCTCATTTTCTACTCTCGGCCCATATTGCAAGCAACATCTCAAATTAGGGTTACAATTTCGTCGCCGCTAAACCCTTGGCCTCCTTCGCCTCCATAAATATCCACCGACGTTCTTCATCTTCTTCACCTTTTTGTGGCTGAATTCGTCCATGGTTCTAAATTCTCCGATATCCGTCCCAGCAGTTTCTTTTCGTATTGTTTCAGTTTGTATGGTTAGGGTTTAATTTTGGTTATTGAAGTTCATCCATGAATATTCCGATGAAGAAGCTCTCCCAAAATTGATAGGAAGTGCCGTATGACACTCCAAACCGCAGCGAGAAGCCATTGATACGACTGTTGGCTCCCATCAGGCAGTGAACTCCGACGCCGATTCGTTTCTACCCTGGAGCGGTCTGGTTGTTGGATCGTTTTGCTGTCCGGGAATTCTTAGCCGTTTTCCGTGATTCTCCTGTGTGGTTGATTTGAAACGGGTCTCTGAGGATTTTGAGGTATTCTTTCTTCTTTTTCTTGATTCGGTTCGATGCCACGTCGTCGAGAGCTCAATGGCGGTGACCAACGATGCTATGATTGAACCAAAAGTAAAATTTTCACATCTTGATAGGAATCTGTTCAATCTTTTTCCATAGATTTACAGAGCCGTTTTGTGTGATTACAATTTTTTTAAAGAAAATTTCAATCTCATCATCTTGATAGGAATCAATACTTTTTCCCAGATCTGAGACATTTTTTTATTTGATTTCGAAAGCCAATGATGATTTGTTCTTTTAGTTGGAATTACCGGCTGAATTTTCTTGATGTCAAATAGACTGCTATCTGAGGCTTCGAAAATTTTCAGTTATTTTATTTCATAAGAATCCTAAAATATCGCCATCAAATTTTTCGTCTGGAGCTTCTTTATGCAAAATAATTAGCTCCAGATGCAACCATTTATGTTTTGAAATTTTATTATTTTGATCTTAACTGCGTTTCAATTTTGATTATTTTGGGACCAAATATTTGTGCTACATTGAAAGACTATTTACAAAGTAGTAAATTCCTTGGAAGCCAAAACAACGTCGAAATTCAAAGATTAAATTCTACAAAATAATGCCTAAAATTATTGGTTGCTTGTTCCTCCACCACAAATACGATAGTATTGTAATAATTGTACATCTTGAAAATAGTCATTTAAAGATTGTTTTACACTGATCTGCCAAATCTGGTACTAACTTTGTTAGTATCCAAGAAGCATATGAATAGGGGTAATGATCAAGACAACAGTAGTCGGCATTTGTACTTCCAAAAATGTTTGAAGACCGAAAGTTGGGTCTTGAAGATGATCAGATATTGTTCTAATCTCCGACGATAAATTATGTTCCCTGATATGGATGGATGTTGTTTTAGACTTCACCAATATTGGAGAATGAGAATCGTTATGGTTTGGATTGACAGATGTTCGGGTGCTACATGGTTAGGCCCTTGTTGTTAATTAATGTTTGAGCTAATTTCTGACTTCTAAATGTTAATTATGTTTGAATTATAGAGTGAGATTGAAAGTGCGGTCGTTTAAATATGATACTGATACTAATACTTAAAAGAAATAAACGAAGATACAAACGGAAAATTTAAACAATATAAATTAACTAAATTAAAATATACTGTTAATCATTGGGAAAATGTAAACAATATAAACTAAAAAAACTAACTTCAAATTCTATGATTGGAAAAATATAAACAATATAAACTAAAACTAAAAAAACTAACCTCTGATTCTTGCTCTACTAGAAAAAAATATAGTTAAATTTTAACATAAAAATATTAACTTATTTGAAAATAAGAATATGAACTTAGAAAATAAGATAAATAATCAAATTCTAACTTGATTGGGAAAATATAAATTAACTAATCTTCAAAAATAAGATAAAATTTACTTGGATCATATATTTTCTAATTAATTATTATATTATATTTTTCAAATATTATATTTTAATATTAATTCGTGTTTGAACCAACCTTATCACGTCTGCTTTTCTTATACTGTGATTGTAATTAAAATAATAATAATAATTGAAATAAAAAAGAAAAAAAGAGTGACCAGAAAGAACAAATTTATACTATGGATCCTCCCTTTAGCTCTCGGAGAGGGAGGGTTAAGGATTGGAGCTTCTCCTCTCGGAAAAGCATGAAAAAAATGGTTCGAATGGTACGATTCCTCCATCACGATCTTGTAGTCCTTTATTATCTTTATAGACCAAGAACTACCAGAGAGAACCATACCATTTGAGTTTTTTTTTTTTTTTTTTTTTTTTTTTTTTTTTTTTTTTTTTTTTTTTTTTTTTTTTTTT